GGTTCTGTTTACATCAGTTGTCTGTGTCTGTGCAGTCATTGCAGACAAGGAGTGGGAACAACTCTTTGATTCAGTGGATTCACAGTCAGGAACTATAAATGACTATTTCCATGTTATAGTGCACCCATGTAATCATTTGAGATCACAAACTGTTATAGGAAGACAGGTCATGTATTCATTTGGTTAAAGTAAAGAAAGCATATATCTAAAGATCAGAACTGACAACAACAGAGCATCTGGGAATCTTCTAGATGTGTTTTGTGCTTTCCAAAACTGGTTACCTGGAATCACATAGGGTGGGATATTGGCTTGGCTTAGCAAAAACAAAACAGGTGGCATCTGCTTCTAGGAGCTTGAGATTCCCAATCCATATTATGAATGCATTGCAGCATAAAAATAGTGTGAAATAAAAGTGTATGGATGCCACAATGCAGAGCTGATTTGCATCTCTGCATTGTGATGCAGTAATAAAGATCTATTGTGCTGCATTGAGGATGTGCTTTGGAGTGCCATTCCAAATGAATGGCACCACAACATACTGCTCAAGGTTTCAATGGCTGCTGCGTGTTATGTCAACATATGGTAAGTACTGCATTTCAGATCTATTTGCATCACCCTTACCAGTTTCTATGTCAGAGTGAAATAGGAACTGGTGGCAGTTCTGTGCCTAATTAAGGCCTCTTTCACATGGGTGGCAGTAAAATCAGGTGGATAAGCCATGTACTTACTGCCCCCTGGCCACCCACCTAATGGCTAAATAACAGCCAGAGGATGCCATGACAGAAAGCAAATTGAATGCAACCTGCTGAGTTGACAGGCAACAGTGCCTATCAAACTCAGTCATTAGGGCCGCACTGCAACCACCAGCCAAACCCTTGGCTCATGGTTGCGGTGCATCATCCCCATTATAAATTGCAGTTTGGCAGAAAAACAACAAGCATTCAGGAGGTGGCAGGATCACCTCCTGCATGCCTGACAGTGACTGCTCAACTGCCCTCTAAAAAGCAATCCAACACAGATTGCTCTTCAGAGCATTGGCTGGTGTGAACCTAGCCTAACAAGGGGATCACAGTGGTTTTCAATATAGAAAACTGCTGAAGATCCCCACCAGACTGGACCTGATGTAAGGATTGTAAACTGTCTTCTGGTAACCAGACAGACAGCTTACATGATTCTCTGTGCCCGTGCAGTGAACACACACAACACGAGCAGAGACAGCAGTCAGGAACAGATTGCTCTTAATTGAAAAAGAGGCTTGCACCCTGCTCCATTTTCTCAGTTTATGATTGCACCTCTCTGCATTAATTCCTCCAACAAGTTTAAAGCTACATGTCAACCAAAAATAGGTACAGTAAATAATAATTAAAATAGAAAATAAAGAAGCAGCTTTTGATGCAATGCTCAGTTTCAATCTGGAGCTCTCTCCTGCAGTACTTCTTTTTCACCACTACAGTATATGTCCTTGTGATGCTTCTCCATCTGCTACTCTGAGCTTTGCTGTACAGGGACTACAATATGCTGATACAAAGTCAAATTCAGGTACTTAAAATGCCTGTATTTACAGAAATACATTTAATCATGTGTTAATGAATACAGAAATGCATCAAAGAATATGTAAACCCTACATTTCATATTCCTGATATGTGCCTGCTGTACCATGTATTTGCATGAAAAAGTATCCTGTTCTCCTTGTATTACTTCCTTTGTGTGAAATCCTTAGTGTTCCTGTCAGTCCCTTTGCTTTCCCATTAAAAACTGACCACACTAGGCAGGAAAACACACAGTGATCAGTTTTCTAGCTTTGCTGGGAACTCAGTGTGCTCTCCTCCAATGATAAGAGGTCTGCTGACATGCCTCCCCACCCCCTGCATAGCCATTCACTGGGAAGTTCAGCGTTCTTTTCCTCCCCACTTCTCTGTTCTCAGCTGCATAAGGAGCTTAGAGGGTATAAAACAGAGGAAAAAAAGTATATATAATGGTTTTTATATCTATACACAAATACTTTGCCTTTCATTTCTATTTTTGAATAGGTTGTTTTACAAAGTAAGGGTTTACATATACTTTAATTAGTGCCCAGGGGCGGACTGACAACTCATGGGGCCCCCGGGCAATAGGGGATCATGGGGCCCCTGTGTCCTTGCCCACTCTCAAACCAAACCCAAAAAAGCCTATGAAAGGTACCAGGGGCATCCCATGGGGCCCCCTTCTGACCCCGATCCCTCGGGCAGTGCCCGAGTTCCCAAATGGTCAGTCCGCCCCTGTTAGTGCTTTTTATATCTGCCTGAGGTTCAACTTGAAGAAGGGGCTCACTATTGCAGACATATATTTAAAATCGAAAGGCTAACTTGCAATTAGAGATGAGCGAATCGAAATCGGCGAAGTGGAATTCGTTTCGAATATTAGAAAAATTTCGATGCGCGAATCGAAATTTTTCCAAAAATGGTGGCGACATGTGCAGCGACGGAGCAGGGATCTCTGGGAAGGCGCGCAGACAAGGCGCGCTGACCCATAATGCATTCATTCATGACATGTGATCGCATTAGCCAATCAGCAGCCAGCCAGCCAGCACTGTGTAATGGTGGAGCTATAATTGCGGCCATCTTACAATTCTCCATTTGCCTCTGGTCATTCAAGAGAGACAGATCTCTCTGTATTAGGGACACATAATCGTTACTTAGGGACACAGAACAGTTACTTAGGGACACAGAACCGTTACTTAGGGACACACAATCGTTACTTAGGGACACAGAACCGTTACTTAGGGACACAGAACCGTTACTTAGGGACACAGAATTGTTACTCAGGGACACAGAATTGTTACTCAGGGACAGACACAGAATTGTTACTGAGGGACACAGAATTGTTACTCAGGGACACAGAATTGTTACTCAGGAACAGACACAGAATTGTTACTGAGGGACACAGAATTGTTACTCAGGGACAGACACAGAATTGTTACTGAGGGACACAGAATTGTTACTGAGGGACACAGAACCGTTACTCAGGGACACAGAATTGTTACTCAGGGACACAGAATTGTTACTGAGGGACACAGAATTGTTACTGAGGGACACAGAATTGTTACTCAGAGACACAGAATTGTTACTCAGGGACAGACACAGAATTGTTACTGAGGGACTGGGACACAGAATTGTTACTCAGGGACACAGAATTGTTACTCAGGGACAGACACAGAATTGTTACTGAGGGACACAGAATTGTTACTGAGGGACACAGAATTGTTACTCAGGGACAGACACAGAATTGTTACTGAGGGACACAGAATTGTTACTGAGGGACACAGAATTGTTACTCAGGGACACAGAATTGTTACTCAGGGACACAGAATTGTTACTCAGGGACAGACAAAGAATTGTTACTGAGGGACACAGAATTGTTACTGAGGGACACAGAATTGTTACTCAGGGACACAGAATTGTTACTCAGGGACAGACACAGAATTGTTACTGAGGGACACAGAATTGTTACTGAGGGACACAGAATTGTTACTCAGGGACAGACACAGAATTGTTACTGAGGGACACAGAATTGTTACTGAGGGACACAGAATTGTTACTGAGGGACACAGTATTGTTACTCAGGGACACAGAATTGTTACTCGGGGACACAGAATTGTTACTCGGGGAAACAGAATTGTTACGCAGGGACAGACAAAGAATTGTTACTGAGGGACACAGAAATGCGCGAATCGAAATTTTTCCAAAAATGGTGGCGACATGTGCGGCGACGGAGCAGGGATCTCTGGGAAGGCGCGCAGACAAGGCGCGCTGACCCATAATGCATTCTGTCAGGGCTCCCAGGTATGACCAGAGGTGTGTGACTGAAGCAGGGAAACGCAGACCTCAGATATGTTATAAACAATATAATTTATTAACACTAACAGTACAAACATAAACGCAGTGCAATACTAAACATAATACAGTGCAAACAAACCAAACCACCCACAGATAACAGTATATACAAGCAAGCGTCGTCAGGCAGGCCGGGTCAATATCAATTGGGCAGGTAGGTACAGGGGGAGCAAGCGGAGAATGGTCGGGGTCACAGGCCAGGTTCAGCAGGTAGCAAGCAGCATAGTACAGAGGGTCAGGCAGAGGGATGGTCCGGGTCACAAGCCAGGGATCAGAACAGGTAGCAAGCAGCGTAGTACAGAGGGTCAGACAGAGGGATGGTCAGGGTCACAAGCCAGGATCAGAGCAGGAGAAGTCAGCAAAGGAACAGAAACAGGATGCAGGACAGATACAGGGCCCAGGACAAACACAACACCAAGGCAGAGTCTGCAAGTCTGGCCATCCCTTAAATACACCAGTATCATCAGTTCCAGGTGTTAGCTGGCTGAAAGGTTGAGTCTCTGATTGCTGGGAGCACCCGCTGGCCAGCCCTGGTACTGCAGATCAAAAGGCAGGTGAGTCCCACCATTGCTGGCCAGTCCATTCCTAACAGTACCCCCCTCAAGGAGCGGCCTCAGGACGCTCCAAACAGTCCTAGCTGGGCAAAATGTTCCACCGCCCGGGTCTGGCAACTGGCGGGATATCAAAGACTGGCACACCGGGCAGGACTCCGGGCAGCGGCACACACCGGGCTGGACTCCGGGCAGCGGCACATCGAGCAGAGGCACATCGGGCAGAGGCACATCGGGCAGGACTCCCCAGGCAGAGGCACATCGGGCAGGACTCCAGGCAGAGGCACATCGGGCAGGACTCCAGGCAGAGGCACATCGGGCAGGACTCCAGGCAGAGGCACATCGGGCAGGACTCCGGGCAGAGGCACATCGGGCAGGACTCCGGGCAGAGGCACATCGGGCAGGACTCCGGGCAGAGGCACATCGGGCAGGACTCCGGGCAGAGGCACATCGGATTACCAGGCGAAGCAGCAGGCAGCGGGCCACCAGGCGGAGCAGCAGGCACCGGGCCCCGGGCGGAGCAGCAGGCACCGGGCCCCCGGGCGGAGCAGCAGGCACCGGGCCCCCGGGCGGAGCAGCAGGCACCGGGCCCCCGGGCGGAGCAGCAGGCACCGGGCCCCCGGGCGGGGCGACAGGCACCGGGCCCCCGGGCGGGGCGACAGGCACCGGGCCCCCGGGCGGGGCGACAGGCACCGGGCCCCCGGGCGGAGCAGCAGGCACCGGGCCCCCGGGCGGGGCGACAGGCACCGGGCCCCCGGGCGGAGCAGCAGGCACCGGGCCCCCGGGCGGAGCAGCAGGAACCGGGCCCCCGGGCGGGAGCAGCAGGCACCGGGCCCCCGGGCGGGGCGACGGGCACCGGGCCCCCGGGCGGGGCGACGGGCATCGTGCCCCCGGGCGGGGCGACGGGCATCGTGCCCCCGGGCGGGGCGACGGGCATCGGGCCCCCAGGAGGGGCGACGGGCATCGGCCCCCAGGAGGGGCGACGGGCATCGGGCCCCCAGGCGGGGCGACGGGCATCGTGCCCCCAGGCGGGGCGACGGGCATCGTGCCCCCAGGCGGGGCGACAGGCATCGTGCCCCCAGGGCGGGGCGGCGGGCGCCGGACCTCCAGATGGAGCGACAGGTCTCGGGCCCTCAGGCGGAGCGGCGGGCGCCGGACCCCCAGGCGGAGCGACAGGTCTCGGGCCCTCAGGCGGAGCGGCAGGCGCCGGACCCCCAGGCGGAGCGACAGGTCTCGGGCCCTCAGACGGAGCGGCGGGCGCCGGACCCCCAGGAGGAGCGACAGGTCTCGGGACCCCTCAGGCGGAGCGGCGGGCGACGGACCCCCAGGTGGAGCGACAGGTCTCGGGCCCTCAGGCGGAGCGGCAGGCGCCGGACCCCCAGGGCGGAGCGACAGGTCTCGGGCCCTCAGGCGGAGCGGCGGGCGCCGGACCCCCAGGAGGAGCGACAGGTCTCGGGCCCTCAGGCGGAGCGGCGGGCGCCGGACCCCCAGATGGAGCGACAGGTCTCGGGCCCTCAGGCGGAGCGGCGGGCGCCGGACCCCCAGGTGGAGCGACAGGTCTCGGGCCCTCAGGCGGAGCGGCGGCGCCGGACCCCCAGGCGGAGCGACAGGTCTCGGGCCCTCAGGCGGAGCGGCGGGCGCTGGACCCCCAGGAGGAGCGACAGGTTCGGGCCCTCAGGCGGAGCGGCGGGCGCCGGGCCCCCAGATGGAGCGACAGGTCTCGGGCCCTCAGGCGGAGCGACAGGGTCTCGGGCCCCCAGGTGGGGCGGGCGGGCGCCGGATCCCCAGGCGGAGCGGCGGGCGCTGGACCCCCAAGCGGAGCAACAGGTCTCGGGCCCCCAGGCGGGCCGGGGATGGGGTCCCCGGATCATTTTTTGGTAAAGGGCTTAGGGGGGTACGGCTTAGGCCGCGTAAGGGCTTTAGCCGGTAGAGGATAGGCCCGGGAGAGGTTAGGCGAGTAGAGGCATCAGGCCCCAGTAGAGGTTCGTGAAGGAGGCATCAGGCCGAGTACAGGGACAGGCCCTTTAAAGGTCGGGGTAAGGCTTTAGGCCGCGTAGGGTTCAGGCCGAGAGAGGCTTCAGGCCGGGGGGTTAAAAAGGGAGCAGTAAGCATAGGCCCAAATAGAGGCTTAGGGCCCCGAGGAGAGGCTTCAGGGCCGAGGAGAGGTTTTTAGGCCCCGAGAGGTTCAGGGGTAGGGTTCAGGCGAGGGGAGGCTAGGTGCTAAGGATAGTCTGAACCCCGGAAGGGGCTCACCGGGGTTTTGGATATGGGGATGGGATTGGGTTGGAAAAAAAATTTTCGCTTTTTTTGTTTTTAATATGGAGCATGCAAGTAAAGCAGGTCTGCAAAAAGAATGGAGCGCTGGGACGAGAAAAATGGAGGATGGAACAGGAGAGG